AATTGCCCAAGTATATATAAATGCAAAAGGTTGCATTTTTGTTCATAACACACATTGTTCACTCAAAGCAAAACCAAAACTCTCTCTAAAAGCCACGACCACTCTCTAAACCTCTCAAGGTGGTGTTAAAGTGTGGAGGTCTCATTACTTTGAGGCTGATCTTCATCAATCCAAAGCAAAGGAATAGGTATAATCTGTTTTCCAAGCTTTGTTTGAAAACCGGTTTTTTGAATCCAATTTTTTTTTTATGCTTTCTTCTCCATTTCCACCACTCTTCATGCATGCATGCTGATCTTTCAGTATTTAATGTTTCTGGCAGACACTGCAGCGCGTGCAGAGCGCCTGACAGCGTGGATACAGGTTCATTGAATCTCTCCAAGGCGCGTAAAAGAGCGCCCGACGAATCCAGGTCGTTAAAATGACGATTCTCAGGTCGTTTGGGCGAGAATTGTGCGAGGTCGTGTTTGCCGAAGGTCATGTCCCGAGCTTTTTCTATTCAAGTCGGAACAACCAAAACCTCCAACCGCGACATGACTTAGTTTCCAAGGTTCGACCCTCAAACCTTACAAACTAGAGGCTTCTGTTATGACTAAGAAATTAAAGGCTGACGTGGAGTTGCGTGACGAAACGTGGCCTGGTCCCGTCAGAACGGTAAGCGCACGTCAAGCCTGCCAAACGCCCTGGTGCTCCCACGTGTCCGCTAACCTGCTCCAAATCGCGTGAAATCGGCTTGGAAAATGGGTAATGGGATGTAAAATCAGATTAGGTCCTGACAATCACACCAACCCAAGGATTTAGTGATGATTACGCACATTCAACTGGGTATAAGAAGGGGAAGACCCCTTCATTAAGGGGATTCGACAATTTTACACAAAAACTCTCTCTCTCTCACGCTTTTGTATCCATTTCCCAATCTTTTGTAAGTCAATCCGCTGTTGCGACCTGACCCACACTATCAATATCAATACAAATCAATAGACGTAGGATTTGCTACCTTGCCATCCGAACCACTTTAAAAACTCTCATAGCATTTATTTCGTTTTCTATATTCATTATCACGTGTGCTTTTTAACCAATCAACGCTACGCACGTGACAATTAGTTGGTGTCAAAATCCAGCATTAACACTTTTCAATAAGGCAACAAAAAAGCAAAGTAAAAATGTCCGAGTCAAAGGAATGCATGAAGCTGTACTCTGATCAGACGAGACAGTTTGAATCCGACGATTAATTAAAGCTTTCGCACTCTTACATTTAATTCAACCATTTCTATATATCAGTCTTATTTATATTTTTGGAGAATTACCATGATATGACCTCTTCAATAATACATGATGTTGAAAATTAACGCCAAAACACACAAATAATGAAACAGAAAAATAAAGAAAATACACAGCAAATGACTGCAATTGACTCTTTCTCTCCTCTCTCTCAAGTGTTTTTCATATTAGGTTTTTCCCACTATTACAATATGTAATAGTAATCTTTGAGTGGGTCAGCGGGTGTAAATAATAATAATACTATACTTATTCACGAACTTACTAACTATCTTACTAACGTATGTAAATATAAAACATAGTACGGGTGTCATAAGCATAGTACGGATACCATATATAATTTTAACAAAGATGAGTAAGACAGTTAGTAAGTTCGTGAGTAAGCGTAACATTATTGATGCAGATAATCCCTGCAAAGTATAAACTACATCCAAAACACATGTAAATATTCTCCAAGTGATGAATTTGACTAAACAAAGAAATATAGATGGATGGGTGAAACAAGTATTATTAATTGGAACAATAGTTTTCTGGTTTTTATTTAACAGTTAAAAAATATTGCGTGATACTTCATGTTAATAAAACAAAACACAATAAAATCTAAAGCATTTTTAGTACCAAACGAGAAAAAGAAAGGGAGATAGGATTAAAATGTGATGAACAATGTTCTAAAAGTAAATAAAGCTAGAAATGGTTTCGATGAGGAGGGGCCTGGACATAATGATTTTAGAGGTAAAAAGAAATAAAAGTTTGCTGTAGCGGGATTCTTCTCGGTAAAAGAAGAATACCTTCGGAAATAAGTTGCTGGTCATATCAATTTCCTCGACACAGTTTTTAATGATAGGTAAGTACACTTAAAACGGCTGAAGTGCACGCGATTCATCGAGTACTTAATGCAGAAGTAATATCCTAACATCTATATATACTGAGCCCGTCACTTAAACAGAATTACCCAGCCATTAGAAGTACAAATTTCTTTGACGTTCTATTTCTTCTTAATTTTCTTCTGATTAAAGAGCAATCTCTTAGAAATAATGGCTGCAAGGGAAGAGGGACCTGCAATCGGAATTGATCTAGGGACTACATACTCATGCGTGGCTATGTGGAAGAATGACAGAGTGGAGATCATAGCCAATGATCAAGGCAACAGGACGACGCCGTCTTATGTGGCGTTTACTGACAAGGAACGATTAATTGGCGACGCTGCAAAGAACCAGGTTGACGTGAACCCCAAGAACACCGTTTATGGTAAGACCTTTTACATTTTCTCTGGTTTAGTTTTATTGAATTAGAATAAGATAGTAGTTTTATTTTCATCGTCAACATGAATTTAACCTTTATATTCTTATAATGCTTCATCCTACAATGTACTTTATCACTGTAGATGCAAAGAGGTTGATCGGTAGAAGATTCAACGATGAATCAGTCCAGAGAGATATGAAGTTATGGCCTTTCAAGGTCGTTGATGGAGATGGTGGAAAGCCAATGATTGTGATCAAAAGCAAGGGGGAAGAGAAGCAGTTGGCTCCTGAATTAGTTTCTTCCATGATACTTTCCAAAATGCGTCAGATTGCCGAAGATTTTCATGGTTCAACGGTGAAGAATGCAGTTATCACTGTTCCTGCCTATTTCAATGACTCCCAGCGTCAAGCCACCAAGGATGCTGGTGAAATTGCTGGACTAAATGTTATGAAAATCATCAATGAACCCACCGCTGCAGCCATTGCTTATGGTCTCGACAAGAAGAATTCCGGTGCCGGTGAAAGAAATGTTTTGATTTTCGATCTTAGGGCGGGGTACTTTTGATGTGTCTTTGCTTACCATTGATAAAGATACCTTTCAAGTGAAGCCATTGCTGGAGACACCCATCTCGGTGGTGAGGATTTTGATAACAACCTGGTAGATCACTTGTTAAGGAGTTCAGGCAGAAGTATAGAAAGACGTCAGTCAAAAACCTAGAGCTCTCCAGAGACTGAGATCTGCGTGCGAGAGGGCCAAGAGGACTCTTTCGTTCACCTCTCAAACTTCAATTCATGTTGATTATTTGGTTCAGGGAATTGATTTCCATTCAATTATTAGTCGTACCAAATTCGAGGAGCTCAACATGGATCTCTTCAGCAAGTGTATTACACAGGTTGAGAATTGTTTGAGGGATGCTAAGATGGACAAGAATAGTGTCCATGATATAGTCCTGTTGGCGGTTCAACCAGGATTCCGAAAGTGCAGCAGCTATTGAAGACTTCTTCAATGGAAAAAACCTTTGTAAAAACATTAACCCAGATGAATCTTGTGGCTTACGGTGCTGCAATTCAGGCTGCCCTATTGAGTGGTCAGGGTAATGAGACTATGCAGGGACTCGTCCTCACGGACGTTACCCCTCTTTCTCTTGGAATTGAAGTTGGTGGTTGTATCATGTCTTTTTAATCCCAAGGAACACTGCAATCCCCCAAAGAAAGAGATGTGTTCACAACCTGCGCAGATTTTCAATCTGTTGTCAGTATCGCCGTTTATGAGGGTGAGAGCAAAAACTGAGGATAACCATTTTTTGGGAGAGTCAGTCTCTTCGGTATTCTACCCGCTCCAAGGGGTTTTCCTCAGATCAATGTCTGCTTTGAAATTGATGAAATGGAATCCTGAATGTCTCAGCTGAGGACAAGACCACTGGCATGACGAACAAGATCACAATCACCAATGACAAGGAAGGATGTCTAGGGATGAAATAGAAAGATGGTTAAGAGGCAAGAAGTACGAGGCTGAAGATAAAATTATAAAGAAAGTTGAGGCCAGCTTCTCTGGAGGGTTGTCTGCCAAATGAGGCACATTGTCAAGTCTGAGATGATAGCATCTAAGCTCCCTGCTGGTAAGAAGAGAGGATTTGGGTGATTTAATCGTGTCATTCAGTGGCTTAATGGAAGCGATGAAGTTGTTGAGGCAAACATTTACAGGACAAGAAGAATGAGCTTGAAATAATTTGCCGCCCGGTTTTTGAAATTCTTTCGGAAAACGTGGTGACGTTGAATGTCATTGATGATGAAGCTTTCCTGATTTATGCCATGGGTGGTGTCAAGATTGAGGATGTTGTGACTAAGCTTTTTCTAAGTGTTTTCAATGTGCTAGGCAGAAGCGTATCTGCGTACTCATGTTCATGGTTACGTTGATTAAACATTGATTGTATTTTTCTTTCCTTTATAATTTCTGTAAGTATCTTTTTATGAATAGTATCTAGACTTGCTTTACACTTATGAGTTTATTTGGTAATTATCCACTTAAGTTTACGCTAAGCACTTATTTGATGGCACGTAACGTAACAACCTCTAGGCCGAACCAACATTAGTTATAACATTTCAACCTACAAACATAACATAATATATTCTAATATCATATCTTCATACATTACATGCACCTTAATCTAAAATATTATTTAAAAGTGGTATTATCTAATCTGCTTTAGGTATATGTGTACAGGCAAAAAATCACGTTGAAACCCAAGCCTAAGCCTTCAATCTAGCAACAAAGTCCAAGGACCAAGTCAGATGCAGGCCCATGACAAGAGTCCAGCAAACGAGTTCCAAGGACCAAAACAAGTCAGGGCCCACATACAAGGCCCAACAATCCATATCAAGCGGACCTAGACCCACGGATCAAACCAAGGTCCTGAACTACCTTATTTAGACAGATCACCCAAATCGCCTCCTGATTTCTCGGAAATCATCCTGATATCTCGAAACTGCATCCTAGTATCTTGAAACCGCCTCACAACAATATTGAGCCTAATACCCACCTCCATGTTGAATTAAGTGATAATAGGGTATATTAACATTTCTTATAATTTTTTAGCAGGCTTTGACTAACATTTTGAGGTTCTTCCATAGAAAAACCACTCACTTTAGACCTAATTTAACACGATCTAGTGATATATCCCTATTTTACCACCATTTACATATACCTTTTTATCCTCAAATCCTTGTTCTTGAATTCTTTTTTTTTTTTTTTTTTTTTTTTTTTTTGGTTGGAATAAAATGAGATTTAATATCTCAAATATGATGTTATATAAGGATGATTTTAATGAAACTAATATCAGGACGTTTTCATTAGAGAATTATCCTATAAATTTAATATACTTCGTTTGCGCAAATAAAAAAATATATATATAAATTGATACTGAAAATCTCAATTATTATGCTAGAATGGACTGAATCTTAGAAGAGACGAAACTTTTCTTCTCTCTTTTTGGAATCCAATGAAGAAACCCGAACCAAATTATCAACCCATACACGCCCCTAAGTCAAGGTTTGCTCAAAAATGTCATCCTTGATCTTAATGCTCCTTAGAAAATGTAGAACTTAACTAACTACAAGAAAAAAAGTTGAACTAGTTCATGGAAAAAATTGTATTGGACCAAGTATGCCTATACTTTTCTTCCACACATACGTTAACTTGGAAGAGAAATCTTCACAATTATTGTGTATCCTATATTCTAATTTACAAGTCTTTGTCCTAGATCCGTCAATTTAGGAACTAAATTGTCCAAATTGTCATCCCTATTCCTAACGTGCCCACTACTCTTGAAGAATGAGTACTGTAAGTGTGAAGACAAAAACGGTGCCGTGTCACTTAACCAACACGCTGTCGTTTTAAGCATGAATCTAGACCATCAGTTTTGAGAAGATCCAACGGCTGTGCTTAGTCCATCCTGGTCAACGATATATAAGTGAACTTTTTCTCTTTAGCTTTCAAGTTTGATATTCGATTGAAACAGGGTTAGGTATTTGCTCTGCTAGGGTTCATCCTTTGTTCTGAAATCTTGGTTCTGTGTAACTAGTTGAGTGATTGATTTGTCATTTTGTTAGAGGGGTTTTGTCTCTCGGTTGGCTGGGATTCTCAGTGTATAGTTTCCAAGGCTATTAGTTACCAAATAGGGTGATTTCGAGTTTGATTGAATCTTTCGATCTTGCGTCTGTAATCTGTAAACTACTTTTCTAATAGTGCAGTAGGCTTCGACGTTTCCGGAGCTCAACGTGGACGTAGCCTTCCCAATCTTGGAAAGGTGAACCACGGTAAAATTGTGGTGTTCTTAATCTTCTGTAATTGTGTCTTATTTGGTTATAATCTGTGGTTTGTGAGTGTGTTATTACAACAGTGGTATCAGAGCGAGGTTTCGCCTTAGAGCCTAGAGCGAGTCTTGAGATCCGAATTTGAGAAAATTAATTTCTAGGGTTTCATAGAAATTAGGGGTTTTCTAAAATTTCGAGTTCTAGGGTTCTTAGGAGTCTTTAGTATTTCTCTAAACCAGAAATAATCTAGAATCAACACCGATTTCTAATTATGAGCACTACTAGTTCCACCCGCATGGAAATTGCACAGTACAACGGAAAAATTGACTTCAATTCTTGGAAGAAGAAAATGAATGCCCTACTTTCGCATAATAAAGTAGGGATTGCACTAGAAAAAGATGCTGAAAAGTGGTCAGCGGACAAGTTAAAAAGAAAGGCAGAAATAGACGAGGAGGCATACAACTTGATCGTGATGAACTTGGCAGACAACGTGCTGAGGAAAGTGGACGGATTGGAGGCTCCAATCGCACTCTAGGATAAACTCGAAACTCTATATGCTTTACAAACTGCACCAAATCTTGCTTTCTTGAAGGGTGCACTTTTTCATATAGAATGGACAGTAGTAAATCAATAGAAGATAATATTGATGAATTCTTGAAAATGACCATAGGCCTAAAGGGTACTGACCAAGAATTAGGTGAAACGAGTTTAGCAATGATCCTGCTAAACTCTCTGACCGAAGACTATCAAGTTGTTAAGAACGTTTTACAGTATTCAGGCACAGTCCCTAGTGTAGATCTCATAGTATCAGGACTAAAGGCTAGGGAATTGGAATTGAAGGTTTAGAAAAGAAGTGGCAATAATCTGTTTTGTAAAAGATAAACCTGATCTAGGTAGTTCCTCAAATGGCATGCCAAGAAACAATTGGTCTAAGGCTAAAAAGAAAGGAAAAGGGGCTAACAAGAAATGGGAGACTAGAAAATGCTTTCACTGTAATAGGCCTGATAATCTAAAAAAGAATTGATATGATTGGATTAGGAAACAAAAATCAGTGAACACTGAGAGCAATGTTGCATGTACTGATAAAAACATTACTAATCCAGAAGTTCTAACTGTGTCTAGAACAGATCAGACTCATGACTGGGTATTAGACTCTAGATGCTCCTTCCATATGAGCCCTAACAGAGAGTGGTTTCAGGATTTTAGGGGTGGTGAATATGAAACTGTCTATATGGGTAACAATAACACTTGCAGAGTGTTAGGATTAGGTAACATTAGCCTAAGACTAGATGATGGAAAAACCATTGTGTTATCAAATGTTAGGTACATTCCTAAACTAAAGAGGAACCTAATATCCCTAGGTACCCTAGATGAGTCAGGATGTAGCTATAAGGCTGAAAGGGGTTGTATAAATGTGTTTAAGAATAACCATATTGTTCTAAGGGGGTTGAAGAAGAATGGGCTATACATTCTGTGTGGCAGTTATTACTCTGAGAATGGGAACAGTGCCTTGGTCTCCACAAATCTGAATGATACTAATAAGTGGCATTTGAGGTTAGGTCGCATGAGTGAAAAGGGTATGAGTATTCTTAGACAACAGGGGTTATTTGGTAGAGATAAAATAACAACCCTAGATTTCTGTGAAACTTGTGTTTTGGGAAAACAACATAGAGGTAGTTTCACCAAAGGTATACACCTATCCCAAAACTATTTAGATTATCTACATGCTGACCCTTGGGGGCCTGAAAGAATTAGATCTCATGGGGGGAATTCCTATTTCTTTTCTATTGTTGATGACTTCAGTCGAAAAGTTTGGGTATACCTACTGAAGTCTAAAGATGAGGCTCTGTCCAAGTTCAAAACCCGGAAGACACTTGTGGAAAACCTAATTGATAGAAAAGTGAAGGCTTTAAGGACAGAAAATGGTTTAGAATTCTGCAATATGGAGTTTGACAATTATTGTAGGGATCAAGGTATATTAAGGCATAGAACAGTTAGGAAAACCCCTTAGAAAAATGGAGTTGCTGAGAGAATGAACCGAACCTTGTTAGAAAAAGTCAGGTGTCTCTTGTTCACCTCAGGTCTCCCAAAAACTTTTTGGGGAGAAGCTTTGACCATTGCTGCCTACTTAATAAACAGAAGCCCTAATAGCTCCATAGGATTCAATTGTCCTAAGTCAAAGTGGTTAGGAAGAGAATTAAACCTCAGCCATCTAAGAGTGTTTGGATGTGCTGCTTATGCACATACCAGTGATGGGAAATTAGAGCCCAGGTCCATAAAGTGTCTATTTTTAGGATACTAGGAGGGCACTAAAGGTTATAGATTGTGGGATAAGACTGCACCAGGGGTTAAGATTATTATTAGCAGAGATGTGATTTTTAATGAAGGGGATTTCCCTTGCAAGTTTGCTAATGTTGATGCAGGATCTCCAAGCAACAAGGTAACACAACCAAGCACTACACCAATTGAGGTAGAGGCAACCAGAGAATACCCACACCGAAGAATATCCTGCACCAGAAGAAGGAATTACACCTGATGAACCTGACCAAAATGAGGAGGAAACAGAAGAGACCCAAGACCCATTGCAGAATGATTTGCAGGATTACCAACTGGTAAGGGACAGGACCAGAAGAGACATAAGGCCACTAGCAAGATACTCATTTGCAGAACTGGTCTATAAGGCCCTAATGGCAGGAACTGAAATTCTGAGGACAGAACCAGAGTCATACTCTGAAGCAATCACCTCAAAGGACAAGCATAAATGGTGGCAAGCAATGACAGAGGAAATTAACTCTCTACAAGTAAATGGGACTTGGTCCCTAGTCCCTAAACCTAAACACCAGAAAATTATACAGTGTAAATGGTTGTATAAGATTAAAGAGGGTGTAGATACGAATGAACCACCTAGATACAAAGCTAGATTGGTGGCCAAAGGGTTCACCCAAAGGGAGGGCATAGACTTCAATGAAGTCTTCTCTCCCGTTGTCAAATATAAAACCATTAGAATGATGATGTCTGTAGTAGCTCACCAAGACCTAGAGTTAGAGCAACTTGACGTGAAAACAGCATTCCTTCATGGGGATTTAGAAGAACAAATTTACATGGCCCAACCAACAGGTTCTGTAGACTGCCTTAGACCTGACCATGTATGCAGACTGCATAAGTCCTTGTATGGACTTAAACAGTCACCCAGACAGTGGTATAAAATGTTTGATACCTTTATACTTAACCTAAGATTCACTAGGAGCAAGTATGATAACTATTTTTACTTTGCCTTGAAAGATGCCATGCCTATTTACTTGTTGCTTTATGTTGATGATATGCTCCTGATTAGTAAATTAAAATCAAAGATAACTGAACTAAAATCTAGACTGAGTTCTGAATTTGATATGAAAGACCTAGGAGTGGCTAAGAAAATATTGGGAATGATGATAAACAGAGACAGAACCAGGAATACCCTAAAGGTTCATCAAACACCATACCTACAGAAGCTAGTTTCCAAATTTGGAATGTCTAATTGTAAGCCTGTAACAATGCCTCTTGCAAATCATGTTATTCTGTCTAAGTCCCAATGTCCAAAGAACTCTACTGAAACCATAAAAATGGAGATTGTCCCTTTATTCAAATGTGATAAGGTCTGTGATATATGCAATGATTAGCACCAGACCAGATTTAGCTTTTGTAATTTCTTTACTGAGTAGGTTCATGTCAAATCTAGGAAGTGATCACTAGACTGCATTGAAATGGGTACTCAGATATATAAACTGTACTACATGTATAGGTTTAGAATATTGTAAAAGAACATCTGCACTTGATCTTGTGGGGTTTGTGGACTTAGACTTTGCAGGTGACAGGGATAGCAGGAAGTCAACCACAGCCTACTGCTTCACCCTTGGAGGAAATTGCATCAGCTGGAAATCACAACTCCAGCCTCTAGTTGCCCTGTCAACAACTGAAGCAGGGTATGTGGCACTAGCAGATGGCTTAAAGGAGACTGTATAGATGCAAGGATTATTGATAGAATCTGAATTGACTGACAGCAAAGTGACTATTTTCTCAGACAGTCAAAGTGCCATACTGTTAAGCAAAAATCCTATCTACCATGAGAGAACGAAACATGTGGACGTGAGATTTCACTTCATCAAAGACCTAATTACCAAAAGGCAGATTGAGTTAAGGAAAGTTCCCACTAAACAAAATCCAGCAGATATGGGAACCAAAATTGTCAGTCCAGCCAAGTTCAAGCAATGCATGAACTTGCTATTCCTTAAATAATCAAAGCATCACCAGAGCTATGAGGGAATAAGTTGAGACAAACTGCACTAGAAAGGGAAGTCAGTAAGAGAGTGGGTTTTATGTCTTCAAGGTGGAGATTGTAAGTGTGAAGACCAAAACGGTGTCGTGTCACTTAACCAACACGCTGTCGTTTCAAGCATGAATCTAGACCATCAGTTTTGAGAAGATCCAACGGCTGTGCTTAGTCCATCCTGGTCAACGATATATAAGTGAACAACAAGTACTAAAGACATAGACCCAAAACAGTAAGTCTTTGTAGTAGACCTGTCTGTTTATGTCTAAGTTGCCCAAATTGTCATCCCTGTCTACAACTCTTAGAAAAGTTGAACTTGACTAACCACAGGAAAACTTTTTTTAGTTTGTGGAAAAATTTGTACTTAGACCAATTATGCCTATGCATTACTCCATTTCATACGTCTATGTTGGAAAGGAAAAATCTTTACAATTATTGTAATATTCTATGCTCTAATTTCCATTAATTTAAAAATGAAATTATATCGAGTCGATAAGTATCCAAGTTTTATGAAAAACCAAGACCATTTGAAGTGGTCAGACTTGTCTCACAACAATATTGAGGGTCTAATACCCACCTCCATGATGAGCATAAAAGTAATAATTGGGTATATTAACCTTTCTTATAAATTTTAAACAAGCTTTGACCAATATTTTGAAGTTCTTCCATAAAAAATCTACTCACTTTAGACCTAAGCTTTAACATAATCTAGGGATATATCCTAATTTTACCACAATTTACATATACCCCTTTTATCTTCCAAGTCCTTGATCTATTGAACAACAATCTTAGTGGAGTTCTTCCTCAATGTTTGGAGAACTTAGGTAATTCTTTGGTAGTATTGAATCTCCAAAACAACTTAATTTACGGTCAAATTCCTCAAAAATTTGCAAAAATCATAGTTATTGCACATAAATATCTTAACCAATTACATTGGCAAGTACCAAGATCATTAGCTAAAATGGTAAGAGTTTCTTGATTTTGGAAACAAACTTATACATGACATTTTTCCTCAAATATGCAGGTACCTGTGGCATGTTATATAGGAAAAATTCTATACAAACTTAACGTTTTCTTCACCCTTGAAATAATTGTACTTAGAGTAACTACAGCTAGGTTGCAATTTCCAATTTTCCACAGTGAATAGAGAGTGACCTTTTGGTCTTTGTATGGAAAGATTTTGGAAAAGTTGGACATGTCTAGATTGTGTAATTGTCATCCCTAATCTTAACGTGTCCACCACTCTTGACTTCAAGAACTGCACATGAATGGAAGCTAAATAATTTTATATTAACAATGGGAGGAGTGTATGTATAAATCTTTTATTTCTTGTCTAGTAATTTTTTTATAAAGGATAAAAAAAATAGTAATTCACTCGTTAATATTAAAAAATATAAAATTCATTACTTTATAATGTCAGTTAGCCTTCTAGTAAATCGAGTTTAGCTAAAAAATATTGAAGTTATTATATATGGAAGGGTTAATAGGTAATTAATAAATATAGACAAGACAGCTTGAATCCGACAACTAATATTATGCTTTCCCACTCTTATATTTAATTCAAACATTTCTATATATCACTCTTATTTATATTTTTGTATAATTATTATGATATGACCTCTTCAATAATCCATGTAAATATTTTCAAGTGATGAATTTGACGAAACAAAGAAATATAAATGGATGGGTGAAACAGAGTATTATTGTTTTCAGTGACATTTTTCTTCCCACTATATCCTATTATAGTTTGGAGATAATTTTAACAAAGATTTAAAATCTGAAGTTTGTCCAATTTAATTAGTGAACAAATTTGGCTACACATAATTAATTTTTAATGAATTAGTTAGTTGAGGTGGGCTGTTTCCTAAATTTTTATTTTAAATTATTTTGAAATACAAATATTAGTTAATAAAAGACAGAATTGATTAATTGGAACAATAGTTTTCTGGTTTTTATTTAACAATTAAAAAATATTGCGTGATAGTTCATATTAATAAAACAAAACATAATAAAATCTAAGACGAGAAAAAAGAAAGGGAGATAGGATTAAAAAGTAAATAAAGGTAGAAATCAGGAGGGGCCTGAAGAAAATGATTTTACAGGTGGAAAGGAATAAAGTTAGTTGTAGTGGGATTCTTCTCCGTAAAAGAAGAATACCTCTCGGAAATAAGTTGCAAGTCATATCAATTTCCTGACACAGTCGCTTTAAATATAACGATGACTGAAGTGCACGCGATTCGTTAAGTATTTAATCAAGAAGTAGTATCCTAGTATCTATATATACTGAGACCGTCACTTAAACAGAATTACACAGTTTTTCAGAAATACAATTTTCTTTGATGTCCTATTTTCTTCTGATTAAAGAGTAAATTCTTAGAAATAATGGCTGCAAAGGAAGAGGGACCAGCGATCGGAATTGATCTAGGGACTACATACTCTTGCGTGGCAGTATGGAAGAATGATAGAGTTGAGATCATAACCAATGAGCAAGGCAACAGGACGACGCCGTCTTGTGTGGCCTTTACTGATAAGGAACGTTTTATCGGTGAGCCTGTAAAGAACCAAGTTTACATGAATCCTTGTAACACCGTTTACGGTAAGTATTTTTATACTTTCTCTGGTTTGATTTCATTAAATATGTTTATTTTAGGTAAGGAAATGTACTTGAAATTAACTTTCATTTAGTTATATTGTTTCATTCTACGACACATGTTAATCATTGTAGATGCAAAAAGGTTGATTGGAAGAAGATTCGAAGATGAGTCAGTCCAGGGAGATATGCAGTTATGGCCTTTCAAGGTCGTGGAAAGCCAATGATTCTAATTAACAACGAAGGTGAAGAGAAGCGGTTGGCTCCTGAGTTTGTCTCTTCTATGGCACTTTCCAAGATGCGGCAGGTTGCCGAAGATTATCATGGTACAACGGTAAAGAATGCAGTTATCGCTGTTCCTGCTTATTTCAATAACTCCCAACGTCAAGCCACCAAGGTTGCTGGTGAAATTGCTGGACTAAATGTTATGAAAATCATCAATGAACCCACTGCTGCAGCCATTGCTTATGGTCTCGACAAGAAGGACTCCAGTTATGGGGAAAGAAATATATTGATTTTTGATCTTGGTGGTGGTACTTTTGATGTGTCTTTGCTTACCATTGATAATGATATCTTTAAAGTGAAGGCAACCGCTGGAGACACCCATCTTGGTGGTGCAGATTTTGATAACAACATGGTAAATCACTTTGCAAAGGAGTTTAAGCGAAAGTACAAACAAGATATTAGTGGAAATCCTCGAGCTCTTCAAAGATTGAGAACTGCTTGTGAGAGGGCGAAGAGGACTCTTGCATTCATGACTGAGACTACTATTCAGATTGATTGTTTCTTTAATGGTATTGACTTCTATTCAAATATTAGTCGCGCCAAATTTGAGGAGCTCAATATGGATCTCTTCAGGAAGTGTCTAGAGCCGGTTGAGAAATGTTTGAATGATGCTGAGATGAATAAAATGAGTGTCCATGATGTAGTCCTTGTTGGTGATTCTACAAGGATTCCGAAAGTGCAGCAGCTATTGCAAGATTTTTTCAATGGAAAGACACTTTGCAAGGACATTAACGCAGATGAGGCAGTTGCCTACGGTGCTGCTATTCAGGCTCTTTTATTAAGCGGTCAGTGTAATGAGAAGGTGAAGGATCTTACTCTCTTGGACGTTATCCCTCTATCCCTTGGCATAGAAGTCGAGGGTGGCTATATGTCTGTTATGATCCCTAGAAACACCGCAATTCCCACTAAGATAGAAAAGATATACTTCAACTCCTGTGACAACCAAACTACCATGGAGATTGACGTTTATGAGGTTGAGAGACCAAGAACTAGAGATAACAACTTGTTGGGCAGTTTCAATTTATATGGCATACCTCCAGCTCCCAAAGGGGATTCTAAGGTGAATGTCTGCTTTGATATTGATGCTAATGGAATCTTGAATGTCTCAGCTGAGGATAAAATCACTGGCCAGATTGAAATTAATTAATTAATTGACAATGTCTAAAATTGAAATTACGGGTATGAATTCAATTAAGATTTTTTGTGGGATGAATTCAATTAATTCATGATATTCCTCAATATGAAATTAAGCTTCTTCCTCTTGAAGCTAACCTCTTCAATAAGGCAACAAAAAGGCAAAGCAAAAATGCCATACTCAAAGGAATGCGGCCGAACGACATACTCCTACCCAAGCTTTGTCTCAAGGATAAAGTGGTACCCAAAAAGTTTGAAAATGACAAATACCTATCTTCCATCCATATCTGTTAGTGAATTCCATCTGTAATTATACAAAAGACTAAAATGCCCTTTTCTTCTTCATCCTCTTCTCTTCTTCCATTTTCTTCTCCCCGGCTTTACTCACACATCTCCTTTTCCAAGATTTCATCTTAAGAATCTCTAATTTCTGTTAACTTTTATATGTGATTCATATTATGTCTTCGGTTAAGCAGTCAAATTTTGTTTATGAACTTAAACACAAACTTGGAGCATCTCCCCCACCAAATCCCACTCATTCTCTCTCTCTAAAATCTTTAATCAATCAATTCCCCTTCAAAATCACCATCCTCCTTTTTTTTTTTTTTATTTAACACTTTGAACAGAGGAAAACATGTTGTCTCCATCTCCACTATCTTTCTTCTGTGCTCTACTTCTCTGCTTACTCTTAGCCATTGGCTTCACTATCACTAGCCCCACCACCATCTCCTCTCAAAACACTTCTAACCACACCCGTCGAACCCCACCCATCATTATGCCATAGCCACAGCCACTGCCACCACCACCTCTGCCGTCGCCAATACCAAAAGATGATGAATTAAGATTTTAGATAGATTGATAGACAGTTTAAAGCATCAGATTCGGGTTTAAACAACCCGAAATTCTGCTCTAAGATAGACGGTTTCAAATTCTCATTGAACAAAGCGGAAATGTAAACCTCAAAAATCCGATTAGGCATCAGAGGCATCCCTTCACCAGAGTTCACGTGCTTCGCAAGGTTCCCAATATACAACAGCGCGTTCTGTAAATTTGAATCCGGTTGGTTCGAGTCACCCGCTGACGGCCAATCGGTCTCCCCTACTATAATATCCACATCACCATAACCAACCTTCTTCATTGCTGAGTAAAGTGTACAAAAAAAAAAAAAGATTGGTGATTTTGAAGGGGAATTGATTGATTAAGATATTAGAGAGAGAGAGAGAGAGAGAGAGAGAGAGATGAATCTCGGAGAAGGAGGTGCATAAAGCCGTGGGGAAGAAAATGGAAGAAGAGAAAGGGCGTTTTAGTCTTTTCCATGATCATAGACGGAATTCACTAACAGATATGGACGAAAAGGGGATATTTGTCATTTCCAAACTTTTTGGGTGCTAGCTTCCATAAGGCAAAGTTTGGGTAGGAACATGTCGTTCGGCCAAGGAATGCTTGAAGCTGTACTATATGTTCAGACAAGACGGTTTGAATCCGACAATTAATTAAAGCCTTCGCACTCTTACATTTAATTCAACCATTTCTATGTATCACTCTTATTTATATTTTTGGAGAATTACCATGATATGACCTCTTTAATAATACATGATGTTGAAAATTATAGCCAAAACACACAAATAATGAAACAGAAAAATAAAGAAAATACATGATTTATCATGATTGTAGACGTAAAAATCTACCTGTACAGAAGGAGGGTCTGATCCCGTGAGGTTAAGGTCACTAACGATTTACTACACCTACACACGTAGAGAAACGAACGTGAAGCAACAGAAAACATCCGGGGTGATGTTTGCCGTAGGTACTCCGACGCTCAAGTCAGCAAGGCTGAAAGAGGCTAATTTAGTGAGAGATAGGGAGTAGAGAGATTACCAAAAGTCTAGTCGGAGACTGTGACTACGACTGTGATCTGAAGTTCTCAAGCGGGAACTCCGGGGTCTGAATGTGTAGTGTAATCTGCCTTGTGAGAGGGCTAATCTCTGTATAAATAGTAACTGTCTGGTCTCCCAATCCTGGTGGGATTGAGAGTCCTCGTAGCAATTCGTTTCCTCCAGGGATATATCTTTTGATCCCCTTATCCTAGTGTGAAAGGGAATCCAAGTATTGCTCTGACATGGACCTTGGAGGAGTTGGGGTGATAGTGGATTACTTTGTCAGTGTTTGAATATGAATGTGATCCGTAGGTAGCCGTGGGCTCTGAATTCGTTCACAAATCCAAGAAGTGAACTAGGATTAGGAGGCTTGTGTCCGGATGGTTTGGGCTGACTATACCTCTTATCAAATATGCCTAATTCGGCGAGTTTCGGATTGGGCCACATCGGGATTGGGCCTGGTCTTTTCCTCATTGTCAGACTCGTTTTTTAATTTAGGCCGAGGACGATTTTTGACCCTAACAATGATTCAAATGAAACGGAAAAATAAAGAAAATACATGATTTATCATGATTCATTTTTAATGTAGGAACTACATTTAGTATTGAAGATAGAAAATTTTTTATTGAGTACTGCAAGAAATACACAGTAAATGACTGCAATTCACTCTTTCTCTCCTCTCTCTCAAGTGTTTTTCATATTAGGTTTTTCCCACTATTACAATACATAAAAGTAATTTTCGAGTGGTTTAGTGTATGCAGATAATCCCTGCAAAATATAAACCACATCCAACACATGTAAATATTTTCCAAGTGATGAATTTGACGAAACAAAGAAATATAAATGGATGGGTGAAACAGAGTATTATTAATTGGAACAATAGTTTCCTTCTGTTCTTATTTAACAATTAAAAAATATTGCGTGATAGTTCATGTTAATAAAACAGAACACAATAAAATGTAAAGCATTTTCAGTACCAAACGAGAAAAAAGAAAGGGAGATAGGATTAAAAAGTGATGAACAATGTTCTAAAAGTAAATAAAGATAGAAATTAAAGGCCCTTTGGTACACAATTTTTCAATATTCTATTCCCTATTCTATTAAAAATACACATTTATTCTCTTATTCTCAAAATATTATTCTATATTATTCAATTCCTTTTAAACCCCCTAAATTTATTAATTTAACTAAATACCCCAAAAAAAATTTTAGAAATTGATAAAAACACCCTAGCAACCCACATTTGCCAGATTTCGACCACCACCATCGAAAGCTGGCTGAAATCTGGTATAATGGTGCACTACAAGCTGGATTTGGCTGGTAATACACTGATCTAGCATTTTCTGACCAAATCTACGGTGGATCTAGTAGGAAAATACCAGATCTACTACCAAAGATCTGGTCGTCGATAAAGATCTGGTCGTTGATGGTCAGATCTTTGGCCGTAGCTAGTCGTCAACGATGGCCAAGATATGGCCGTCGTTGACCATCAACAACGGTCATATCTTTGGCCATCGTTGACAACCAAATGTAGTCAGATCTGGTCATCAATGGCTAGATCTTACCTTTTTAGGCCAAATCTATCATGAATCTGGCTGAAAAAGGCCAAATCGATGTACAACAAACTAAATCCAATCGGTTATACGCTGATACGGTGACTCTAGCCATCCTCTGGTGGTGGTGGTCAGCTATCGACATTTAATGGGTGGGTGAAGGTGTTTTTGTTAATTTTTAATATTTTATTATAGGAGTGTTTAGTAAATAAAGAAATATAAAGGATATTTTTGATAATTTTTAAATATTATATTGTAATACCCATCTAATTTTACTTTTTATCACAATATTATCCTAAAAAGTATAAAGTAATTAACCGAAGTGCACCCTAAGGCTTAATGATTTTAGAGGTGGAAAGAAATAAAAGTTTGCTGTAGTGGGATTCTTCTCAGTAAAAGAAGAATCCCTTCGGAAATAAGTTGCTGGTCATATCGATATCCTCTACACAGTTTTTAATGATAGATGACACTTAAAACGACTGAAGTGCACGCGATTCATTGAGTACTTAACGAAGAAGTAATATCCTAATATCTATATATACTGAGCCCGTCACTTAAACAGAATTACACAGCCATTCAGAAATACAAATTTCTTCGACGTTCTATTTTCTTCTTAATTTTCTTCACATTAAAGAGCAATCTCTTAGAAATAATGGCTGCAAAGGAAGAGGGACCTGCAATCGGAATTGATCTAGGGACTACATACTCATGCGTGGCTATGTGGAAGAATGACAGAGTGGAGATCATAGCCAATGATCAAGGCAACAGGACGACGCCGTCTTATGTGGCGTTTACTGACAAGGAGCGATTTATTGGCGACGCTGCAAAGAACCAGGTTGACGTGAACCCCAAGAACACCGTTTATGGTAAGACCTTTTACATTTTCTCTGGTTTAGTTTTATTGAATTAGAATAAGATAGTAGTTTTATTTTCATCGTCAACATGAATTTAACCTTTATATTCTTATAATGCTTCATCCTACAATGTACTTTATCATTGTAGATGCAAAGAGGTTGATCGGTAGAAGATTCAATGATGAATCAGTCCAGAGAGATATGAAGTTATGGCCTTTCAAGGTCGTTGATGGAGATGGTGGAAAGCCAATGATTGTGATCAAAAGCAAGGGGGAAGAGAAGCAGTTGGCTCCTGAATTAGTTTCTTCCATGATACTTTCCAAAATGCGTCAGATTGCCGAAGATTTTCATGGTTCAACGGTGAAGAATGCAGTTATCACGGTTCCTGCCTATTTCAATGACTCCCAGCGTCAAGCCACCAAGGATGCTGGTGAAATTGCTGGACTAAATGTTATGAAAATCATCAATGAACCCACCGCTGCAGCCATTGCTTATGGTCTCGACAAGAAGAATTCCGGTGCCGGTGAAAGAAATGTTTTGATTTTCGATCTTAGGGGCGGTACTTTTGATGTGTCTTTGCTTACCATTGATAAAGATACCTTTCAAGTGAAGGCCATTGCTGGAGACACCCATCTCGGTGGTGAGGATTTTGATAACAACCTGGTAGATCACTTTGTTAAGGAGTTCAGGCAGAAGTATAAGAAAGACGTCAGTCAAAAACCTAGAGCTCTCCAGAGACTGAGATCTGCGTGCGAGAGGGCCAAGAGGACTCTTTCATTCACTTCTCAAACTTCAATTCATGTTGATTATTTGGTTCAGGGAATTGATTTCCATTCAAATATTAGACGTACCAAATTCGAGGAGCTCAACATGGATCTCTTCAGCAAGTGTATTACACAGGTTGAGAATTGTTTGAGGGATGCTAAGATGGACAAGAATAGTGTCCATGATATAGTCCTTGTTGGTGGTTCAACCAGGATTCCGAAAGTGCAGCAGCTATTGAAAGACTTCTTCAATGGAAAAAACCTTTGTAAAAACATTAACCCAGATGAATCTGTTGCTTACGGTGCTGCAATTCAGGCTGCCCTATTGAGTGGTCAGGGTAATGAGACTATGCAGGGACTCGTCCTCACGGACGTTACCCCTCTTTCTCTTGGAATTGAAGTTGGTGGTTGTATCATGTCTGTTTTAATCCCAAGGAACACTGCAATCCCCACAAAGAAAGAAGATGTGTTCACAACCTGCGCAGATTTTCAATCTGTTGTCAGTATCGACGTTTATGAGGGTGAGAGAGCAAAAACTGAGGATAACCATTTTTTGGGAAGAGTCAGTCTCTTCGGTATTCTACCCGCTCCAAGGGGTTTTCCTCAGATCAATGTCTGCTTTGAAATTGATGAAAATGGAATCCTGAATGTCTCAGCTGAGGACAAGACCACTGGCATGACGAACAAGATCACAATCACCAATGACAAGGGAAGGATGTCTAGGGATGAAATAGAGAAGATGGTTAAGGAGGCAGAGAAGTACGAGGCTGAAGATAAAGAGTATAAAAAGAAAGTTGAGGCCAAGCTTTCTCTGGAGGGTTATGTCTGCCAAATGAGGCACATTGTCAAGTCTGAGATGATAGCATCTAAGCTCCCTGCTGGTAAGAAGAAGAAGATTTTGGGTGATATTAATCGTGTCATTCAGTGGCTTAATGGAAGCGATGAAGTTGTTGAGGCAAACATTTACGAGGACAAGAAGAATGAGCTTGAAATAATTTGCCGCCCGGTTTTTGAAATTCTTTCGGAAAACGATGGTGACGTTGAAGTTGGCATTGATGATGAAGCTTTCCTGAGTTATGCCATGGGTGGTGTCAAGATTGAGGATGTTGACTAAGCTTTTTCTAAGTGTTTTCAATGTGCTAGGCAGAAGCGTATCTGCGTACTCATGTTTCATGGTTACGTTGATTAGAACATATGATTGTATTTTTCTTTCCTTTATAATTTCTGTAAGTATCTTTTTATGAATAGTATCTAGACTTGCTTTACACTTATGAGTTTATTTGGGTAATTATCCACTTAAGTTTACGCTAAGCACATTTAAATTTGATCGCACGTAACGTAACAGCCTCTAGGCCAAACCAAACATTAGTTATAACAATTTCAACCTACAAAACATAACAATAATATATTCTAATATCATATCTTCATACATTACATGCACCTTAATCTAAAATATTATTTAAAAGTGTATATCTAATCTGCTATTAAGTTAATAATGTGACAGGCAAAAATCACGTTGAAACCCAAGCCTAAGCCTTCAATCTAGCAAACAAGTCCAAGACCAAGTCAATGCGGCCCATGACAAGAGTCAGCAAACGTTTTCCCAGCCGCAAAACAAGTCGGCCCACATACAAGGCCCAACATCCTATCAAGCGGACCTAGACCCACGATCAAACCAAGGTCCTAACTACCTTATTTAGACAGAATCAACCAAATCGCCTCCTGATGTCCGGAAATGCATCCTGATATCTCGAAACTGCATCCTAGTATCTTGAAACCGCCTCACAACAATATTGAGGCCTAATACCCACCTCCATGTTTGAATTTAAGTTGTAATAATAGGGTATTTACATTTCTTATATTTTTTAGCAGGCTTTGACTACCCATTTTGAGGTTCTTCCTAGAAAATCCACTCACTTTAGACCTAACGTAACCACGATCTGTGATATACCCTATTTTACCACCATTTACATATACCTTTTTATCCTCAAATCCTTGTTCTTGAATTCTTTTTTTTTTTTTTTTTTTTTGGTTGGAATAAAATGAGATTTAATATCTCAAATATGATGTTATATAAGGTGATTTTAATGAACTAATATCAGGACGTTTTCATTAGAGAATTATCCTATAAATTTAATATACTTCGTTTGCGCAAATAAAAAATATATATATAATTGATACTGAAAATCTCAATTATATGCTATAATGGACGGAATCTAGAAGCGACGAACTTTTTTCTCTCTTTTTGGAATCCAATGAAAACCCGAACCAATTATCAACCCATACACGCCCCTAAGTCACGGTTTGCTCAAAAATGTCATCCTGATCTTAATGCTCCTTAGAAAATGTAGAACTTAACTAACTACAAGAAAAAAAGTTGAACTAGTTCATGGAAAAAATTGATGAGACCAAGTATGCTATACTTTTCTTCCACACATACGTTAACTTGGAAGGAAATCTTCACAATTATTAGTGTATCCTATATTCTAATTTACAAGTCTTTGTCCTAGATCCGTCAATTTAGGAACTAAATTGTCCAAATTGTCATCCCTATTCCTAACGTGCCCACTACTCTTGAAGAATGAGTACTGTAAGTGTGAAGACAAAACGGTGCCGTGTCCTTACCACACGCTGTCGTTTTAAGCATGAATCTAGACCATCAGTTTTGAGAAGATCCAACGGCTGTGCTTGTCCATCCTGTCAACGATATATATGAACTTTTTCTCTTTAGCTTTCAGTTTGATATCGATTGAAACAGGTTAGTGTATTTGCTCTGCTAGGTTCATCCTTTGTTCTGAAATCTTGGTTCTGTTAACTAGTTGAGTGATTGATTTGTCATTTTGTTAGAGGGGTTTTTGTCTCTCGGTTGGCTGGGATTCTCAGTGTATGTTTCCAAGCTATATTAGTTACCAAATAGGTGATTTCGATTTTGATTGAATCTTTCGATCTTGCGTCTGTAATCTGTAAACTACTTTCTAATAGTGCGTAGGCTTCGACGTTTCCGGAGCTCAACGTGGACGTAGCCTTCCCAATCTTGGAAAGGTGAACCACGGTAAATTGTGGTGTTCTTAATCTTCTGTAATTGTGTCTTATTGGTTATAATCTGTGTTTGTGATGTGTTATTACAACAGTGGTATCAGAGCGGGTTTCGCCTTAGAGCCTAGAGCGAGTCTTGAGATCCGAATTTGAGAAAATTAATTTCTAGGTTTCATAGAAATTAGGGGTTTTCTAAAATTTCGAGTTCTAGGGTTCTTAGGAGTCTTTAGTATTTCTCTAAACCAGAAATAATCTAGAATCAACAACCGATTTCTAATTATGACACTACTAGTTCCACCCCAGGAAATTGCACATTACACGTAAAAATTGACTTCAATTCTTGGAAGAAGAAATGAATGCCCTACTTTCGCATAATAAAGTAGGGATTGCACTAGAAAAAGATGCTGAAAAGTGGTCAGCGGACAAGTTAAAAAGAAGCGAAATAGACGAGGAGCGCATACAACTTGATCGTGATGAACTTGGCAGACAACGTGCTGAGGAAAGTGGACGGATTGGAGGCTCCAATCGCACTCTAGGATAAACTCGAAACTCTATAGCTTTACAAACTGCACCAATCTTGCTTTCCTTGAAGGGTGCCTTTTTCATATAGAATGGACAGTAGTAAATCATAGAAATAATATTGAAATTCTTGAAATGACCATAGCCTAAAGGGTACTGACCAAGAATTAGGTGAAACGATTTTAGCATGATCCTGCTAAACTCTCTGACCGAAGACTATCAAGTTTAAGAACGTTTTACATATTCAGGCACAGTCCCTAGTGTAGATCTCATAGGATCAGGACAAAGGCTAGGGAATTGGAATTGAAGGTTTAGAAGAAGTGGCAATAACTGTTTTTTTAAAAGATAAACCTGATCTAGGTAGTTCCTCAAATGGCATGCCAAGAACAATTGGTCTAGGCTAAAAAGAAAGGAAAAGGGGCTAACAGAAATGGGAGACTAGAAAATGCTTTCACTGTAATAGGCCTGTCATCTAAAAAAGAATTGCTATGATTGGTTAGGAAACAAAAATCAGTGAACACTGAGAGCAATTTTGCATGTACTGATAAAACATTACTAATCCAGAAGTTCTAACTGTGTCTAGAACAGATCAGACTCATGACTGGGATTAGACTCTAGATGCTCCTTCCATATGAGCCCTAACAGAGTGGTTTCAGGATTTTAGGGGTGGTGAATATGAAACTGTCTATATGGGTAACAATACACTTGCCGAGTGTTAGGATTAGGTACATTAGCCTAAGACTAGATATGGAAAACCATTGTGTTATCAAATGTTGAGTACATTCCTAAACTAAAGAGGACCTAAACAATATCCCTAGGTACCCTAGATAGTCAGGATGTAGCTATAGGCTGAAAGGGGTTGTATAATGTTTTTAAGAATACTATTGTTCTAAGGGGTTGAAGAAGAATGGGCTATACATTCTTTGTGGCAGTTATTACTCTGAGAATGGAACAGTGCCTTGGTCTCCACAAATCTGAATGATACTAATAAGTGCATTGAGGTTAGGTCGCATGAGTGAAAGGGTATAGAGTATTCTTAGACACAGGGGTTATTTGGTAGAGATAAAATCAACAACCCTAGATTCTGTGAAACTTGTGTTTTGGGAAACCAATAGTAGGTTTCACCAAGGTATACACCTATCCCAAACTATTTAGATTATCTACATGCTGACCCCTTGGGGGCCTGAAAGAATTAGATCTCGTGGGGGAATTCCTATTTCTTTTCTATTGTTGATGACTTCAGTCGAAAGTTTGGGTATACCTCTGAAGTCTAAATGAGGCTCTTTCCAAGTTCCAAAACCCGAGACACTTGTGGAAAACCTAATTGATAGAAAAGTGAAGCTTTAAGGACAGAAAATGGTTTAGAATTCTGCAATATGGGTTTGACAATTATTGTAGGATCAAGGTATATTAAGGCATAGAACAGTTAGGAAAACCCCTTAGAAAAATGGAGTTGCTGAGAGAATGAACCGAACCTTGTTAGAAAGTCAGGTGTCTCTTGTTCACCTCAGGTCTCCCAAAAACTTTTTGGGGAGAAGCTTTGACCATTGCTGCCTACTTAATAAACAGAAGCCCTAATACTCCATAGATTCAATTGTCCTAAGTCAAAGTGGTTAGGAAGAGTAATTAAACCTCAGCCATCTAAGATGTTTGGATGTGCGGCTTATGCACATACCATGATGGGAAATTAGAGCCCGTCCATAAAGTGTCTATTTTTAGGATACTAGAGGGCACTAAAGGTTATAGATTGTGGGATAAGACTGCCACCAGGGTTAAGATTATTATTAGCAGAGATGTGATTTTTAATGAGGGATTTCCCTTGCAAGTTTGCTAATGTTGATGCAGATCTCCAAGCAACAAGGTAACACACCAAGCACTACACCAATTGAGTAGAGGCAACCAGAATAACCCACACCGAAGAATATCCTGCCACCAGAAAAGGAATTACACCTGATGAACCTGACCAAAATGAGGAGGAAACAAGAGACCCAAGACCCATTGCAGAATGATTTGCAGGATTACCAACTGGTAAGGGACGGACCAAGACATAGGCCACTATCAATATACTCATTTGCAGAACTGGTCTATAAGGCCCTAATGGCAGGAACTGAAATTCTGAGGACAGAACCAGAGTCATACTCTGAAGCAATCACCTCAAGACAAGCATAAATGGTGGCAAGCATGACAGAGGAAATTAACTCTCTACAAGTAAATGGGACTTGTCCCTAGTCCCTAAACCTAAACACCAAAATTATACATGTAAATGGTTTATAAAGATTAAAGAGGTGTAGATACGAATGAACCACCTAGATACAAAGCTAGATTGGTGGCCAAAGGGTTCACCCAAGGGAGGGCATAGACTTCAATGAATCTTCTCTCCCGTTGTCAAATAAAACCATTAGAATGATGATGTCTGTAGTAGCTCACCAAGACCTAGAGTTAGAGCAACTTGACGTGAAAACAGCATTCCTTCATGGGATTTAGAAGAACAAATTTACATGGCCCAACCACAGTTCTGTAGACTGCCTTAGACCTGACCATGTATGCAGACTGCATAAGTCCTTGTATGGACTTAAACAGTCACCCAGACAGTGGTATAAAATGTTTGATACCTTTATACTTAACCTAGATTCACTAGGATGCAGTATGATAACTATTTTTACTTTGCCTTGAAGATGCCATGCCTATTTACT